TCTCTCTCTCTCTCTCTATTTCTAAGTCCATTGCATGCCTTAAAGCAATTAATTTTAATGCGATTCTGTGTATGCTTTTTGAAGAATATTCTTTGTTTTGCAGTAATTTATATTTTAAAGAACAAATGATGAATAAAACTAATGTAATAATAATTTGTATTATATAACAAAACCACAACCAATAGAGCACTGGATTTCTATGACGACCCCAAGTGTAATATGTATAACGGGACGGACGGCACAACTATGGGCTCGTTTCTAACTAAAGAGGACACGTTGTATGTGTTCAATGGCGACGCCTGCAGGTAAGACAATCACAGATTAGCACACAATTCAATCAGGGCACATTTAAAACCTCGCTGAAATTAACATTAATAAACACATATTTATTATGATTATAACTGATTTGACAACATAATTTGTGCTAGATCATTAAACGCCAAATACAAGGAGCTGTCCAACGTTAAGGGTATACCCGCGTGGCGTTTCATACTACCGGCCTCGATGTTCGCCTCGCCCACCAAGAATCCGGCCAACAAGTGCTTCTGTCAGACACCCGACGACCCGGACATGTGTGACGGCATATTTGACCTTGGTCCGTGCCAGATGGGCGCCCCGCTTGCATTTTCATTCCCCCACTTCATGCACGCCGGCCCTCGCATTACGGCCAATGTTGAGGGAATGCATCCCGACGTTGAAAAACACGAGTCCTTCTTCGATGTCGAACCGGTATTTAGTTTTGTATAACTATTTGTGATTATAATATCATTGATTTAATTCCTATTGTCATTATAATGATAGACAATCGGAGCGCCGATGAGAGCCGCCGGTAGACTACAAGTCAATGTATTGATGAAACCCAATCGGCTATTAGCGTATGTTTTTAACCATGTTTATTTTAAACTATTTTATATAAAGTATTGTCTCTTTAGTGGTTTTGGTGGCGTTAGAGAAGCTGTCGTTCCCTTTGTTTGGATCGAAGAGGTATTGTTTTAATGGCAAAACCAAAACATATAACAAATATAATTGTGAATCACTAAAACATTTATACCGTGATTGATCCAGTCGGCAGAGGTGGCAGGTCAATTTGAATGGATGCTGAAGGGGGCCATATTTCCAATGCTGGCCATCGATTACGGCTCGTTCTTCGCTATGTTGGGAGGGATGGGTCTTCTCGGCTATACCGGTGTTTACGCGTTCAATAGGAGAAAAATTGTAATTCACCTTATATTTAAGCACTTATTTCAAACGTGAACATTTTATTAAATTATTATTATGATGGTCAATTGCAGTTAAATCCACCCAAGCAAGAAAAACCGCCAGTTGTGACGGCAGACCCGTACCAAATGGACACACAGACGAAGAATATGTATCCCAATCCGTATACCGTTAGCGGAAGGATTGTCGAGAACGGGAAGGGAACGGGAAATGATAGCGCCTGGACGGGTGCCGATCCACCCGTGTATGCGATTAGTCAACAACAGTATAATCAAAGTCAAAACTCCGGGACACAAACTTCACCCATCAATGCAAACGCTAACCCAAAGCTACAGCGGGTCACGTGGTCTCCACCCGGCTCTGCCGAGGCCTACCCTATGGAATAGGCTCCGGGTCTTTGTTCATGTTATTGTTAATCACATGTTATGCTAATTAATGTGTTATGTTTAGTGTTATAAACACTATGGATTAGTTATTAGAAAATAATATTATAAGTATATTATAAATATAAAAATGTTTTCATAATCATTAGTAAATGCACTGAACTGTTATCTAATGATAACTAATGAAAAATAACTTATTTTATTTATAAATTAATTATAATAATGCTTATTATATGATAAAATAAATCACTTACATATGCAATTAAAGATTTTTATGTTATATTGGTATAATATTTAAAGTACCATGGTCTCTGTAGAATTGATTTAAATACTGTTAGGATGTTATAAAAAACTTTGATTCTGATTTGCACTATAGACATACTGTAGTCAATATTCATTAATTATTATGCGCTAATAACACACCAAATAAAATACAATAAAACTATTATCACTATCATTTCACATAAATAATTTATAAAATATTAAAATAAAAATTCAATTACCATGTTTGTTTGATTGAAAAAATTACAGTTTCATCTATATCTCTACAGTTTAGTTCATCTGTTGCTCAAGATATCTGTATTATTAATGTATAATATATTATATACTGTAGATGTTATAAATGTTGACTTATTTTGAAACATTTTAGTGAATAAAAATTTTAATGGATCCAAAATATGCATATTTGCAATGAGTAGTGATTAAGTAGTAATTTTTAAAATAATTCAATTGAAAACAATTCAATCTATTACTGATAAAATAATATCTCTTTCTATAAGAAACTTTAGTTCAGTGCTAATATTTATATAATTCATATAAATTAAATTTTTTTTGCATATATTAATAAATATATATTTATGTTTTGTAGTTATAATTTCTAGATACAATTTTTAGGTACAAATGGGATAAAATAAGTTATAGGCGCTATGTGTGGTACATTACGGTAATTGATATAAGTGCAACATTTATCATTGTAAATATCTTTATAGATAACTTTATAGCAAATGATGATAAACTTAATCAAACTGTCTCAATAGTACTAAAATTGCTATAAAATCACTATAAATACTACTTATTTAGCTATTTCACATTAAAAACTCTTAAACATTTTAAAATTGAAATATTCAAAATAAGTTTAATAATATTTATAGAGTTATTAATTGATTGTAAAAATGGATATCTTGCAAACATCAATAATTTTAACTTTATTATCAATCGGAACTTTATTTTATTGGTAAATATATAGCATAATTTTAATATAATTAATAAAATTAACATCTATTTAATTTAAACAGGTATTTATCCCGAGGTTTGGATTATTGGGCTAAAATAGGTATTAAAGGACCTAGGCCTATTCCCATATTTGGCAACCTTTTGCACTTATTTATAACACCGCAACCAATACAAGAGCTCAACTGGTTTAAGAAATATGGAAAGATTTATGGGTAAGTAAACTGTTGTACAGTATTTAGTACACAATGTACTGTACAGTATATGCTGTTTAAGTTCATAACATTTGATGTGAATTATTACACGTACTAATAATTATGTTGAACACAACATGTGATACATTACAGAATCCTTTTGGGCAAAACTAAAGTCCTGACCATAAGTGACCCAAAAATAATTAAATCAGTTTTAGTGCAAGACTTTCATCTATTCCCGGATCGAACTGACTTCGGACGACCTGATCATCCAATTATGAGCCGAAGTTTAGTGCAATTAACCGGTGATGACTGGAAACGAGTTAAATATATAGTTAGCCCGACGTTCACGTCGGGAAAGATGAAGCAAATGTATCCCAGGATTAGGGAGTTTGAAAACAATAAATGAACAGGTTAACATACGTAAAAACATAAGGGCCCATTTCCTTGACCCGGGCTTTGGCCCCCCGGCGCCACTGATCGGCATTTTCAATGTGAAAGATAAAAATTTGTATGTCGATAGGGATGGGCACCCGAGACCAGGCCTCCGTCATGAACGAGCCCTCCTTCAGCACCATTTGCCAGTCGACCACAAACCTGACAATCATAGGGAAAAATATCATGTATCCCAACCCAAAACCAGCCATTCCTCCACCAACGAGGGCATAACGTTTCACTCGTTTACGCACAGCAACCGACTCATGAGTTTTGCTATTTACTAATACCATTATAAATGATAAAACTTAAAAAATAATGTAACTTTTTTATTTAGTTAATTATTTGCTTTAAATAGCGCTTCAAATAATGTTTTTTGTCATATAAAACATATATAATTATAAGTGTTTTACATTTCAAATAATTAGATGCTAGATTATATTATGCGTTGATTTTAAAGTGCATATAAAAACTTTAAGGTCGTTTCAGCTCTCACTTTCTATGTCAAGTTTGCGATCAATATTTTCATTATCATTGCGTTTACTTTGATATAGTTTTTGTTTGCAGTATTGATTTTAGGACTGTTTTGATGGATTTTTACCAAGAAATTCTTGAATATGTTATGTTAGTTTAAGTTTTATAGACATTAATTGAGATTACGATTTATTTTTAATGAATTGTTTTATAAAAATCAATATTTTGTATAAATAAATTTTTAAAAAATAAATATTTATTATATTATATTAACTTTATACTACAGTATTGTTATTTTGACTTTATATTTATTAACTTATTATAATGTTAAGTAATATATACAGAAATGTATTATTAATAAATATTGTCATTTTTATCATATTTATAATAATATATGTCTTATCATAGAACTTTTGTACCTATTGTTTGCATAAACTAATTATAAATTCACTCAATGTTTACAATAGATATCATTATTTAAATATGCAATCATTAACACAATATTCATGATTCAAATCAATAATGCTAAACTTATAATACTCTACATTATTTTCAATTTCATGTTATTTCAATACATTTTAAACATTAATTTCAATTATCATACATCCATTTTCATAATATTATTATTTTCTGTAATATTAAACTTTTAGCTAAATACAATTATATTAAAATTAATGTTAAATTAAAATGGTTATTATCACATCAAAAAAATAATTCAAAAATATTACTAAAATAGTCTAGAATTTAGTCTCTAAACAGTCAATTTTTTCAATCTAGTCTTAACATATACTATTTTATATAAAAATGAGGCATTAATTGGAAAGTTACAAATAATATTTAGTGGTATGATTACATAATTGAAATAGAATTTTGCAATATTTAACCTAATAATTGTTTTCAAAATTTAAAAGTAATTAATCTAACAATAGTTATTATGTATGACATCTATTAGGCATTTAGCTCATGAATATATCGATACAAGTATGATTTTGACACTATTCAATTTATAATTTAAATTTCCTGAATATTCTTAAATTTATAATTAATAAATTTTTACGTTTAACATTTTTATAAACATAATGAATGAGAAATATCTAACTCGTAAGTTTAATAGATTTTATTAATGGAAAAACAATTAATTTAGAATTAAATAACTCATAAAATTACATAAATTTACAACAAGTGTTGTTCACTACAAAATATGAAACAAATTAAATGTTAAACAATGTTAACATCTCTTATCAATGCCTACAATAAGCTTTTGAGGAAACGTTAGATTCAATATCCCTCTCATATAATGAATCGGACGGTCAGTATTAGGCGTTGGAAAAAATGTGTAATTCTTTACGATATGAGCCAACGCTAACTTCGCGTTGAGTAATGCAAACCTCATACCAATGCAATTGCGAGGACCGGCACCGAAGGGCAGGTATGTATAGGGAATTATCTTATGCCTATTCTCGGGCATAAATCTATCAGGGTTAAATTGATGAGCATTTTCATAATACTCTTCCGATCTGTGGATCGCTTGTATTGGGAAATCAATTTGTTGTCCGGCTCTCAATGTGATGCCGGTGTCGGCCAACGGGTAGTCAGTTGTGGCCAATCGTGACAAACGTAGAAACGGTGAGTGAAGTCTAAGTGTCTCTGAGATGACTGCATCCAAATGCGGCAGTTTTGCCAACACTTCGTACGGTATCTCTCCGTTGGAATCGATGGCACAATTGATTTCATTGCAAAGTATGTCCTGAATGTGTGGATTGAGTGCCAATTCGTACGAACAAAATGATAATAAATTGGATGTCGTCTCATATCCGCCCAACAAAAACACTATCGCCTGAGCCATCACTTCGTTGTCAGTCAAATGTTTGTCAACAATATTTATATTTAGCGCTTTTTTCTCAGCCGAGAGCTCTTCTTCGCCTAATAATGAATGTAATGTTGAAATAATATTAAATTAAAGGCTTATTTTGCAATACATTTAAAAATACAATTATTACCTTCATTAATGTGATGTGAATCTAATTTATCGTTTTCATCGCGAATGATATCATTTTGTTTCTCGCAATCAATAAGGAGTTGCAAAAAGTCGTTATACTTTTTGGCCTCAATTTTCTTTCTATTGGCCATAATTTGACGAATAGATCGGACGAAGAACTCTCTGCTCTCGGATTGGGATAAACCAAACAATTGTTGCAAAACCGATGGCAACATAAGTAACGCAATCCTTTTGATTGGATTTAAGTTTAAAAGGTTTCTAGCGTTCACTACAAACGGATTATCCAACGACTTGTGAACATCGGTGTTGGTGGCAAAGGCAGTGGTGGCGATCACATCCATCGTATAGTTGCCGTACATGTCCTTTAAATTGATTTCCGCTCTCTTTTGGGCCAATCTCTCCAAATGGTCCATAAAGTCAGTCAAACACTCCCTAATCCTGGGATACATTTGCTTCATCTTTCCCGACGTGAACGTCGGGCTAACTATATATTTAACTCGTTTCCAGTCATCACCGGTTAATTGCACTAAACTTCGGCTCATAATTGGATGATC